TACTGTTGTAACATTGTTGTTTTTGACGCTTCTGTATTACTGTCCCTGTCTAGATACAATAATTAAATTATGGTTGCCATTGATTGTCTAATGTTGAAACCCTGTGATCTTAAATAACTCAGTGACACTCTTGAGTCAAAAATAAACTAAATGAACATGTGAAAACTTATTTTGATAGTTTCTAGTTGTTCACAAGAAATAACATTTGATAGTTTAAAGATGTTCAGCTTATACCATATTGTATATCCAATGTTTAGTCTAATACATATCCCTTAAATTTTTATTCCAAACCTAAGGCACTTAATCCAGTTCACTAGGTGGTTTCACACTGTTTCAAATTACCTGTAACTGTATTTAGTTCTCTACATTTTTCTGTTTTTCACATGACTTTAATTAGTTTGCCTGTAAATATAAGAAATTTGAACCAGCAATTTACCAAGTGGTAGGTTATTCAATGTTTATATATGATGAGAGATAAGATGTAAAGTATTGTGGTGTAGGGTTGAAGGTAATGTCAGGGAAAAGTGAATTTTGAATGATTTTATTAATGAGTTATTTAATTACGTTTAGATACAGTTTATCTAGGATGGTTTCAAATTCTTTACCAAATAATTTACTTTAAGGTCATACAAGATATAATGTTGAGGATTTTCATTGTGGGTATTGTAATTTGATGGGTGTATCATGATTAACCAAATGTACCATGTTCACTCAAGCTATAAAGATAGCTTGCCAGGCAGGTAATATACGCCCACTGGCAGCTTTGAATTTAAATGAAAATATTTGGCAGTACAGTAACAATTACCAGTATGAAATATTCAACCTTCAGTCATACACTTCTTTTGAACTTTTTGAGGCGATATTGAATAATATTACCAAGATTCATCAAAATCTGTTAAGAATTGAGTGTTTACATGAACACGTTTTTAAGAACAGGGGCAATAATATTTTTCGATTTTTGGTTCGGGTTCATTATTGGGTGATTACATACAGTCACACTAAGTTTCGTCAAAATCCATCAAGAATTGTGCCCTTTAGAGTGTTTACGTGCTACATATTGAATGCATTTTCAAAAACAAGGGCAATAACTCATACCAATTATTTTTCTATTTTTCTGGTTTTCAATAGGGTTCATCTTTGGGTGATTACATACAGTCACACCAAGTTTCGTCAAAATCCATCAAGAATTGTGCCTTCTAGAGTGTGTATGTGCTATAAATTGAACGCATTTTCAAGAACAAGGGCAATAACTCATACTAATTATTTTTCGATTTTTCTGATTTTCAATAGGGTTCATCCTTAGGTGATAAACACTCACACCAAGTTTCGTCGAAATCTGTCAATAATTGAACCTTCTAGTGCGTTTACGATCTAAAAACTTGAACGCGTTTCCAAGAACAAGGTCAATAACTCAAATTAATTATTTTTCAATCATTCTGTTCATCCAAATCCATTCAGAATTGTGCCTTCTAGAATGTTTACAAGCTAAATTTGAATGCGTTTTTAAGAACAAGGGCAATAACTCATACTAAATATTTTTTGATCTTTTTGATTTTAAATAGGGTTCATCCTTGGGTGATAACAAACACGTTTCATCAAAATCCGTCAAGAATTGCGCCTTCTAGAGTGTTAACGAGCATTTTAAGAACAAGGGCAATAACTCATACTAAATATTTTTCTGATTTTCAAATTTTGTCAGTTTCAGGGCAACTATAGTTTTTTACAGAATATATATAAAGTCTGCTGATAATGATTAATGTTTATACAACTTGCATAGAAAATCTTTTCCACACCTCTTGATTTGAATGTAATCAGCATATTTTTTGTGGCATTGTTTTGTCCTCGAAAGGAATACTGGTGTAAAAGGGTCTACTATCATCACTTCACATTCACATCTGAGAATTTATCAACTAAAATTGAATTAGTTTTCATTATTTTATACACCCACATCTCTTTAAATGGTATTCAGGTGGCATGTCTGTGTACATGCCTAGCTCTATAATCTACAGTTTTGAACAGATGTGATAAAATTTGGTATCTGTTTACATTAGCTGAAGATTTTGAATGCTTTCCTAATATCAACCCCTTGGATGTTGTATACTGAAAAGTTTTCATAAGATTCAAAAATTGAAGTTCTGACCTCCTGACCTCCTTGTTAACACCCCAAGAACTTAAAATGATCACACTAAATTTCATTAAAATCAGTTGAAAACAGTAGTCTCTATTGTATTCACTAACAGATTTCAACGCATTTATACTAAGTCAAGGACAATAACTCAAAAACCGTTCATTGAAAAACAGTAAATTTTGAACTTGACCATGATCTCATGAATATAAATGACCACACCAAATTTCATTAAAATCAGATAAAAACTGTAGCCTTTAATGTGTTCACAAGCCAATTGGGGACGGACGAACGACAATATACACACCACATTATACTGTGGGCATGCAAAAAAGTAATTTGTACCCTGAGTTTTGTTTGGATAAAGGGCCCAAGTATTTCCAGCAGAACAGTTGGCTTGAATGTTGTGCAACATCAGAACATGGATTTACAACACATTGCACCCTTGTCATAATCTAAAATTTTTTATCTGGCCCTTATCAATAATACCTCTCAAAAATCATATATATATAGTCAGTTTGTATGAGAGTATGAATTTATTGACATGAATTATAGTCAAGCAAGGATATTTCATCACATCCAAGTGAAATCCAAATGTAAACATGTAACAGTCCACCTTAGTTTTTGGTATTTTGGTAGTTAAATAAAAGATAAAGTCTGTCTTGTCTATATTCAACTACTATTAATTCTACCAAAAATACAAGATATTTACATTCCATTTGAATGTTTTGAAATAGATGAATATAATTAGTATCACATATTGAACTATTTATACCATAACACCTTCTGTTGGTATTTAATTTTTCCTATCACATACGATGTATTTGGTTCGTTGCCAGTGTAGAGCCGGCTTCAGGTGACCTAGACCTGTGACTGTGACCTGTGGGGACTATATGAAATAAAGTCTGTTTACGCTAAGACCAATATTTCTATCATCAATTTCGATCTCTGATTTAGTTGTTGACTCCATGGTGGCTCAGTGAAAATCTGAAAATCCATGGTTCAATCCCGGCATAGGTTGAAATGAAATAAAATAAATGGAGTTTTACGTCCTACTTTTCGCCATGCAGGATGCATTGAGGGCAATTTTGTGGCATTTGCCTACTCTTTTTGGATTTCCAACTGTGGAGGGATCTTGCAGCCTGTAGCACATGGGACCCCGGTTTATTGTCCAATCTGAACAACAAGACTTTTCTATTTTAGTTCTCTTACCTGCATCACAGAAATATTTCATTTATTGATAGCTCATAACAATGGCGGGCATATTACGATGGGCCATCAGTATTTTTGAATCCAATATTGAATTGGTAATTGTAGTTACTCTTATCATTTATGTTCAAAATATTTATATTATATTCACCGCTGAAAATTGATTTATTTATGTTTGAAATATCCCTGCTGATGTTTGACTCATTTATTTTTAAGATATTCCAAACATAAACATAAACTCATTTATGTATAAGCTTCGTTATTAAAACGTAAACAAAAGGAAAGTGTCATTAAATGTTTTGATGGACGACAAAGATTTTTTGGTTGGAATTGATGCTGACAGAAAAGCATAACTGTAATTTGGAATATTATTTAGTGGAAAAGAGCATTTCGAACCAATGGCGGCAATCAATTTTGTCTTTTGTTTCGAACCTTCATTTCTGTGCTCCCTCAACTGCGATTTGATAGGTCAGATTTGAACAGCACCAATCTCATTTCTACGCCCAAAAACCGAAGTGTGGTGGGCTTAGTTTAATAGGAGTTAATAAGACCTGCTAAAACCGGTATGCGGAATACAATGATTCTACCCAGTTCCTCAGTTGTGATACAGGGCTGTCAATGTGTTTAGGGCCAGACGTCAAATGTCAATTTCACAAATGTCAGTAGTTTGGTTGGTCACTAGTTTTCACTAGGACAAAAGCTAAATTTGTTATAACTATTGGTACTAACAAATCTGATATGGCATCTGTATTATATCACCTCTGTTTGATAGCTGTGGTTAGATGGTTGGTTGGTAGATGACAAGTTAACGTTTGCTTCCAGTGGATGCTGATATTGCAAACTAGGTAGTTGTTGGTAATCATAGTAGTTGGTAGTTAGATTGGTTCAAATTCTTCGTTAGATTTTGTCGGGTCCAATGACATGGCGGTGAAACTCGGCCCTGGATGGTGTGGCATGAGTTACTCGATCTCCTTCATTCTTCCAAATTGTTCTGATCATGGTATTTTGTTGATTGGTAGTCGAATGGTAGTCGTTGCTTTGGTTAGATTATCTAATAACTGTTGTAAAACTAGAAGACCTGAAAAAAACAGAAGAAAAAGAAAGTTAGAAAAGAGGGTGAAAAATATAAAAGGGGGAAAATCTTTCAACAAAAGGGGGAAAGATGTTCTCAGATGTTTCTGCAATGAAACTTGTTAAAATTGATTGGATATAATTAAAAGTGTTAAGAAACTTTGAGTGAGGTTAGATTGAAAAGACTCCTAGTTATATTATTAAGTATTATCTGAGTGTTAATAATCTTAAACATTCTGTTAATCTGATTAGAAAGGTAATCAATCTGTCTGTCTGTGCCACACTTCAATGGCTTGTGTTTGTGACAATTTACAGTGAATGTGATATATATTATATAGGTTATAATAACAATTATTTTTAACCCTTGTTTTTCAGGTTTTTTTAAATTATGTCATACAAGTCTTTTAAAATTTTATATATTTGGACTGCAGTTTTAAATCAGTTGTTTATGTACAAAGAATTTGAGTCAAAATGGCAACAAATTTGTAGTAAAATAAATCTTATATTATGCAAGTAGTAGTAGTGTAGATGATGTACTATAGATAGTTTTCTTACTATTTTAGATGAGATTTTAGTTAGTTTATAATATGATGTCATGGGAGAAATAGACACAGATTTATTTTTGATAAAACAGATTTTACAAGATGAGGTAAGAATATAAACAATATTTATTCACTTACATGAAATTTGGAATGTATATTGGCGACAATCACTCATAACTTGTCATAAGCATGCTAGAAGGCACAATTCCTGACAATTTTGCCCAAAATAGGTGAAATTGTTTGTTATAAACCATGACAAATTATTGTATAAGATTATTCTAATATTCCTCTACATGTGTTTGCACTTTCGCTCAAATTCTTGAAAACTGTCAACATTTTGGACTGTTGATGTTTCTTTTTCTGCCAAATGTCTTATTAAAACAAATATTGCGGTGGCTCAATGGAGGTCCTGAGTTCAATCCCGACATAGGTCGAGTTATACCTTCGGATTTTTTAAACCGGTTTTCCCATGTCAGTGACGCAGGTAAGAGGGGCTGAAATGGAAAAAAAGTCTAGTCGTTCGTATGAAACAATAAACCAAGGCCCTGTGTGCTACAGACTGTGCAGACTGAAGATCCCAAAAATTTCCCTCATTGCACTCTGCATGGCATTGCCCATCTTCATTAGCCTACATGTTGCAGAAAAGTAGGACGTAAAACTCCATTCATTTCATTTATGATAAAATATATTAAAGTTTTTTTTTTTTTTCACTGATTAATTTTATATTATTTCTATATATTTTTAGGAAAATTCTGGGGATGTATTAAAAAATGAAGATGATAGAGTTCCTAAAAGTGAAGAGGATATTCCATTTGATGATACCTCTGGAACCTCGGTAGATCCTCCTGAATTTTCAGCAAACTCATTGAAAATATTAGAGGAGAAACCATTGAATCCAATTATGAGTGTTAATTCAACTGAAGAAATAGGTGGAATGCAAATAGTTGGATTAATAAAATCAAATGTAGAAAATTGTGATACAGGGAATCAAAAGTTTAGGACATCACCAAATGATCTCTTTGACTCAGATTCCCAACAAATTACTACAAATGATACAAGTTGTCATGGAGTAGACAATCTTGGATTTATAGACTCAAGTCATGGTGAATTGTTGGATTGTAACAGAAACAGTATTGATTGTAATAAATTAGATCACCTGACTGTTAATATGGATTGTGATATTAAAATGGTAGAGCAGCAGAAATTGACTGATACATTATCTGAATGTGAAAAGAGTGCTAAAAATTCAGATAATGATCATCAATTGACAGCTACAGGTCAGTTAAAACTAGCTGAAATTAAAAGAGGGAGTATTGAGCAGGACTCAACTAAGGTAAGATTCATCAAATCAGTGTATATTTTCCATCTGAAAACCTCCAAATCCTTAACAACTTGTTGAATATTTTGTCAACTTTATTTTTCGAAATTCTCATGGTATCCCAGAGTGTTCTACGATTCACGGTGCTTTTCCCATGTCGTGCCTTGAGTTCTAGAAAACATATTGGAGATGTCTAAAATGAGAAATCGAACACACCGATTCTTGTAAAAACACATTGCTCACGTAATGTAAGAAATTTTCCAATATTTTTACCAACAAATTTTGCCTCATAAAATCACGAAAATAACTATGAATTTTGGGCCAGTTGTGAAGCATATAATGATAATATTTTAGATCAGTACTACAGCATTTTCATGCGAGTTTAGTTTACTGAATTCCACATTGGACTTGCGGTAACTGCCTCCTAATTTTTGCCGATCATTTTTAGGTGAAATGAATTATAAAAACAGGAAGGCCAACTGAGAGTTGTGGATTGTCTTTTGGTTGATGTGTTATTTTAATGGATTAGAACCATTGTATATCCATCATACAATAAATTATTATAAGAGACAAGCAAGAATTTCAAAACACTCTTTCTGCAACTCTGGTCCTAGAGAATTGTAATTGGTGTTATTAGACAGGAATAATGCCATAGATTCTATTTCTGACATAAGATTTGGCCTATCTGAATTCAGGGAGCGATTATTTGTTTTGGTGATTTTTTACCTTGACCTGATGTACTAATGAAATCAAAGACTAACCTTTACACTACGTCATATAAAAATTCCAGAGAGTCTATAGTCTGTGTTAAACTGTTGCAGACCCAACTAAGTAAGAATAAGCATCAGCATCTATTAAGTAATAAATAGGTTGAGTAGGTTGAAAGAATTATTTCCAACTAATTGGCAGTCAAATCTATTAAATACTTAATACCTATTTCACTCAATCTCAATTTCTTGATATTGATATTGAAAACTTGAAGTGTCCGTCCAAAATTGCTCGTAAACACTCTTGATGGATTTTGACGAAACTTAGTGTTTGGTATCACTCCAGGATGGGCCCTATTGAAAATAAGAAAAATCCAAAAATATTTAGCATGAGTTATTGCCCTTGTTCTTGAAAACGCGTTCAATTTTAACGTGTAATTGCTCCAGAAGGCACAATTCTTGCCAGATTTTGACGAAATTGATGTGAGTATTTGTAATTGTCAATTCTTTGCCAGATTTAACAAAACTTGGTAATATTGTTCAGTATACCCCAAAAAGTTCAAAAGAAGTGTATGGGTATTATCTGAAGGTTGAATGTTTCATACTGGTGATTGTAACCTTACTGCCAAATATTTTTATTGAAATTCAAAGCTGCCAGTGGGTGTATATTACCTTGCCTGGCAAGCTATCTTAGTATCTGTATGTAATTTTACTATATATTTGTATTATTATTCGAGTCTGCGAATTGAAATAATTTACATCATACTATCTGTAGGTACATACCGCATATATGTAATTTCAATGTATAACAATTAAAACTTGGAAATTATTGCGTATGATTAAATACGTAGAATTAAAGAAAACACTATGTAAAATTTCAACAAAGTGTTGCTTTAGTTAGTTTTAACCACTTTTGTCCACACAAGGAATTGTACGTGACGGTTTTAACCAGTCAAAACTGGCCGGTTAAAACCGGTCTGAATGTTAGTGAGCGTTTATATAAACTAGTTATTTTGTGTGGATTCAGGATCATTTGTAAGGATTTGTAGAATAGGTTGACATTGTGAATGTGGCCCTAATTCTGTTTTCCACCATTTTTTACATCATACCGTATGATGCTGATGTTGTAACTTGTCGAAAAAGCCAAAAGTTTGAGACCTGACCCAATTTTTATGAAATTTTGAATTTGTGTGTTTTCCATCATAACCAACATTTCTGATAAGCTTCATAAAAATCGGAGATGGTTGGGTTAACCCGATTGGGTGAACTGACATGGAATGACCCTAAAGGGTTGATGGGGGTGCAATATTGTAATTTTAAGTACAGCATTCAGAGGACTCTTGTAGATCCTTGATTTTGACGAATTTTTAAGCCTTTAACTCTGTCTGTTAGTCAACCAATAATCATTACATGCATAATATGTAGACTACATTTATTGTTTATCAAATTTGTATGCAGGTTTTGTACTTTTAAACCAAGGTGATGAAGTAGGAAGCAAAGTGACATATTATTCTAGAATCTCTTGCTTTTAAAAGATTATTTGATATCACTGTCATGTTGGTGTATTCCTCTATTAATGTGGCTATGCATAGCAATAAACAATATCAAACAGTCTACCGTTCTGCTATGGCTCTGCAACATATCAAGGTCATGAATGGCAGCCATAATTTACCAGAACTATGTCAATATTTTCATGTTATCAAATTATTCTGGTAGTTTGAACATCAGAGGCTGGTCATGACTACAATATTGTTTTTAAACAAATAAATGTCAATAAGTGTCAATATTACCTCTAAATGGTTTGAAAGTTTATGATGTATATTCTGTTCGCAATATTAGATCACTTGACAAATAATTGTAAAATGCGGAAAGTAAAGAAGACACAACAAAATCTACTATTCCTTATCTAAAAAAATTCAGCTTTTTGGAAACTGTACAGGATTGCCAACAATATAATGTAAACAGCATGAAATATGTGGCTGAAAAGGTTTGACATTGGACCCCTTGATCTATTGGAGACTTCATAAATGTAATATTTCAATGTCTGTATTCAACCCCCATCTTGAATGTTGTGTAGTACAGTACAGTTTATTTTTTTATTCTTTTATTTTTTTTTTTGCCAAAAAACAAAGTTTAGGAAGAGTGAAATACAGAGATTTCAAGTAAATATTACCAATCAATACTTAAATCTTTTTTTGAGCATGAAATTGATCAGGCTTTTTTTTTGTATGTAGTGTTTGTTTATGAATCTATTAAGGTGAACATTTTGACCTTGTCTGTGTGTGTCTAATAGACATTAAATAAAAAAAATGGTGTTCTGCTCTATAGACTATGTAATCTCAGCTTGTGTTTTGAAGGATGGATGAAATGGGAGATGGGTTTATCAGTTATACAGCCAAATAGTTTAATATTGTTACTTCATCCTTTTCTCATGCATAGATGAGTTCTTGGTATTTAGTTGTAAAATAAGGGATGTAATTTATATATGCACTAAATACCTATTTATAAGACAGTGGACGTTATAGCGTTATAGATTAATATACATGTATATTGAAACTTCGAACATAAAATGTTAATTTGTATCCCATTATCCCATATTGTAATGGGATAGAATGTATCTTGGCTGATTTGTTTGGTCAGACAGAAATTGATCTGATTGTGTATCTCAAGATGTTGATCTATATACTACTGGTGGGTGTTCCGTGATACTTAGCGTATGGTTGCATGATTTCACATTGATGGTTTAAGCCATTTTAAAATTTAGAAAAATAACAAATGATATTTGTAACACCAAACACATGACACAGTTTATTGAAATGACTTTAAATACATGTGAAGAAAAGAAAGAAGAAAAAAACGAGAAGAAAGAGATTAAACAGTATATAAAGATAAGTCACAGTATAATCAAACCATGTAAGAGTAAAAGATAAATCACAGCATAATCAAACCATGTAAGTGTTGAAGATAAATCACAGTATAATAAAACCATGTAAGAGTAAAAGATAAATCACAGTATAATCAAACCATGTTAGTGTAGAAGATAAATCACTGTATAATCAAACCAAGTAAAAGTAAAAGATAAATCACAGTATAATCAAACCAAGTAAGAGTAGAAGATAAATCACATTATAATCAAACCAAGTAAGAGTAGAAGATAAATCACAGTATAATCAAATCAAGTAAGTGTTGAAGATAAATCACTGTATAATCGAACCATGTAAGAGTAGAAGATAAATCACAGTATAATCAAACCAAGTAAGAGTAGAAGATAAGTCACAGTATAATCAAATTAAGTAAGAGTAGAAGATAAATGACAGTATAAACAAACCATGTAAGAGTAAAAGATAAATCACAGTATAAACAAACCATGTAAGAGTAGAAGATAAATCACTGTATAATCAAACCAAGTAAAAGTAAAAGATAAATCACAGTATAATCAAACCAAGTAAGAGTAGAAGATAAATCACATTATAATCAAACCAAGTAAGAGTAGAAGATAAATCACAGTATAATCAAATCAAGTTAGTGTTGAAGATAAATCACTGTATAATCAAACTAAGTAAGAGTAGAAGATAAATGACAGAATAAACAAACCATATAAGAGTAAAAGATAAATCACAGTATAATCAAACCAAGTAAGAGTAGAAGATAAGTCGCAGTATAATCAAACCAAGTAAGAGTAGAAGATAAATGACAGTATAAACAAACCATGTAAAAGATAAATCACAGTATAATCAAACCAAGTAAGAGCTGAAGATAAATCACAGTATAATCAAACCAAGTAAGAGTAGAAGATAAGTCGCAGTATAATCAAACTAAGTAAGAGTAGAAGATAAATGCGGTATAAACAAACCATATAAGAGTAAAAGATAAATCACAGTATAATCAAACCATGTAAGAGTAGAAGATAAATCACTGTATAATCAAACCAAGTAAAAGTAAAAGATAAATCACAGTATAATCAAACCAAGTAAGAGCTGAAGATAAGTCACAGTATAATCAAACTAAGTAAGAGCTGAAGATAAATCACTGTATAATCAAACCAAGTAAAAGTAAAAGATAAATCACAGTATAATCAAACCAAGTAAGAGTAGAAGATAAATCACATTATAATCAAACCAAGTAAGAGTAGAAGATAAATCACAGTATAATCAAATCAAGTAAGTGTTGAAGATAAATCACTGTATAATCGAACCATGTAAGAGTAGAAGATAAATCACTGTATAATCAAACCAAGTAAGAGCTGAAGATAAGTCACAGTATAATCAAACTAAGTAAGAGTAGAAGATAAATCACAGTATAAACAAACTAAGTAAGAGTAAAAGATAAATCACAGTATAAACAAACCATGTAAGTGTAGAAGATAAATCACTGTATAATCAAACCAAGTAAAAGTAAAAGATACATCACAGTATAATCAAACCAAGTAAGAGTTGAAGATAAATCACTGTATAATCGAACTATGTAAGAGTAGAAGATAAATCACTGTATAATCAAACCAAGTAAGAGCTGAAGATAAATCACAGTTTAATCAAACCAAGTAAGAGCTGAAGATAAGTCACAGTATAATCAAACTAAGTAAGAGTAGAAGATAAATCACAGTATAAACAAACCATGTAAGAGTAAAAGATAAATCACAGTATAAACAAATCATGTAAGAGTAAAAGATAAATCACATTATAATCAAACCCAGTAAGAGTAGAAGATAAATCACTGTATAATGAAACCAAGTAAGAGTAGAAGATAAATCACAGTATAAACAAACTAAGTAAGAGTAGAAGATAAATCACAGTATAAACAAACCATGTAAGTGTAGAAGATAAATCACTGTATAATCAAACCAAGTATGAGTAGAAGATAAATCACAGTATAATCAAACCATGTAAGTGTAGAAGATAAATCACTGTATAATCAAACCGAGTAAAAGTAAAAGATAAATCACAGTATAATCAAACCAAGTAATAGTACAAGATAAATCACATTATAATCAAACCAAGAAAGAGTAGAAGATAAATCACAGTAAAATCAAATCAAGTAAGTGTTGAAGATAAATCACTGTATAATCGAACCATGTAAGAGTAGAAGATAAATCACTGTATAATCAAACCAAGTAAGAGCTGAAGATAAATCACAGTATAATCAAACCAAGTAAGAGCTGAAGATAAGTCACAGTATAATCAAACTAAGTAAGAGTAGAAGATAAATCACAGTATAAACAAACCATGTAAGAGTAAAAGATAAATCACAGTATAATCAAATCCAGTAAGAGTAGAAGATAAATCACTATATAATCAAACCAAGTAAGAGCTGAAGATAAATCACAGTATAATCAAACCAAGTAAGAACTGAAGATAAGTCACAGTATAATCAAACTAAGTAAGAGTAGAAGATAAATCACAGTATAAACAAACCATGTAAGAGTAAAAGATAAATCACAGTATAATCAAACCATGTAAGTTTAGAAGATAAATCACTGTATAATCAAACCAAGTAAAAGTAAAAGATAAATCACAGTATAATCAAACCAAGTAAGAGTAGAAGATAAATCACATTATAATCAAACCAAGTAAGAGTAGAAGATAAATCACAGTATAATCAAATCAAGTAAGTGTTGAAGATAAATCACTGTATAATCGAACCATGTAAGAGTAGAAGATAAATCACAGTATAATCAAACCAAGTAAGAGTAGAAGATAAGTCACAGTATAATCAAATTAAGTAAGAGTAGAAGATAAATGACAGTATAAACAAACCATGTAAGAGTAAAAGATAAATCACAGTATAAACAAACCATGTAAGAGTAGAAGATAAATCACTGTATAATCAAACTAAGTAAGAGTAGAAGATAAATGACAGTATAAACAAACCATATAAGAGTAAAAGATAAATCACAGTATAATCAAACCAAGTAAGAGTAGAAGATAAGTAGCAGTATAATCAAACCAAGTAAGAGTAGAAGATAAGTCGCAGTATAATCAAACTAAGTAAGAGTAGAAGATAAATCACAGTATAAACAAACCATGTAAGAGTAAAAGATAAATCACAGTATAATCAAACCAAGTAAGAGCTGAAGATAAATCACAGTATAATCAAACCAAGTAAGAGTAGAAGATAAGTCGCAGTATAATCAAACTAAGTAAGAGTAGAAGATAAATGACAGTATAAACAAACCATATAAGAGTAAAAGATAAATCACAGTATAATCAAACCATGTAAGAGTAGAAGATAAATCTCTGTATAATCAAACCAAGTAAGAGTAAAAGATAAATCACAGTATAATCAAACCAAGTAAGAGCTGAAGATAAGTCACAGTATAATCAAACTAAGTAAGAGTAGAAGATAAATCACAGTATAATCAAACCAAGTAAGAGTAGACGATAAATCACAGTATAATCAAACCAACTAAGAGTAGAAGATAAGTCACAGTATAATCAAATCAAGTAAGAGTAGAAGATAAATCACAGTATAATCAAACCCAGTAAGAGTAGAAGATAAGTCACTATTGTATTTAAAGGGACAGAGGTAGGCATTTTTGGGGATGATTTGGACTTTGAATATATGTTAATAGTCTTCAGAAGTTCTGAAAATTGAACGTCTTGTTGATATAGTTTCTGACACCATGACATTGTAACTGTGAATGAACAAAATGGGACAGGATAACTTCCAAACATAGATAATTATGGATATACTTGGAATTGAAGACTCAATTACTTGTGACCTGAATTAATTGGGCTGGTAATCTGAAGCTAACTTTTTGTATGAATAAAAATCTGGTCCAAAGTATGATAAAATTGAGAGTAAAAGTTGTATAGTGGTGGACCCCACCATCAGGTGTTTCAAAAAGCATGGTCTGCTTTGCAAGGAACACCCGAAAGTAGTATATAGGTCAACATCTTGAGATACACAATCAGATCAATTTATGTCTGACCAAACAAATCAGCCAAGGTGCAAGAAACAGATATGTAACATTTTTCCAGAAGTTCGCTATAATGATCATAAAATTTCTCAAATAAAGTCTATGTGTCAAGTTACCCTGCAATAGTACCCAAAGCAATTTCACGGTCAATATTAGAGCTCTAGCCAAATTCAACATATTATCGATAAATAAATTCAACATTATTACATTTCTTTGCTATAGATATTAAATGAAGATAAAACGTATTTGGAAATCAGTAAGAAGCTGATAGTACCTTCACCAAATATGCTTAGAATATTGAGAAGTTTGAATAGAGACATAGTTTATAATGTTATCAATGATATTAAGATTCAGTCATGTAATTATATATATTTATATACAGGACATGTAGTAGACAATATGATATATTTTATTATGTATAATACATTACAACACTCCTAATACTATCCTAGATTACTCTCCTATTTCTCATTCATCCATATAATAAGGGAATTGTAAGCTTGTAACCATACTGTTGGTAGCAATGTTGTGGAATGCTTAAATTCAGGTATCATTTCATACTATATTGGGTTATTTTGTTCTTTAAGATTTATATAAAAATTTATAATATATAAATTTTGAATTCCATTAAATTCATGTTTAAATGTTTAGTAAAAATATTAATGATACCATGAAATGTTTCATTGTTAGGCTTATAGCTTTTTGAATGACCACAGTCTCTTCATCTGATGCTTAAAGGGAAATTATGACAAACTTCCATCATTGAAAATAGGGAAAGTTATACAGGAAAAGATTTCTGAAATATGAATTTTACTACTTTATCAACCTAAACTTGCTTCCAAAGGGGTGTAAAAAAAAAAGATGATAGTGATAATTATTAAAAGTGTTTGGTGTTGGGCATTACAACTAGTGCTGGGTATTGACAATCATGCCACAATACTATATGTATCACGATACAAGGGTCATGATACAATATATTTCGCTATATTATGGGGAAATAGGATAAAAATTTAACATTTTATCGACAAAGTTCAATATATATTAATTTAATACTTTATAACTGTGATATTTGATTTTAATGTAGTTGATAGAAGTGGTTAACGTATAATGTATAATAAACAGTTACCAACAATTTTAGTCAACCTTGCAGTTTTCCCAACACCAACGTGACAAGACTTCACTGAGTGTCATCCAATCAGAGTCATTCTATATCGATTTTATCATGTTTTTAATATAGTCACATGACATGAACATCACAAAATGGCGAAAAATATGTCCAATTGGAGATTTTCTGTCTTCTTGTGTGCTCGCATCCTTTGATGAAACTCTTTAATTAGAACTACAACAAATATCACCCTGGTGCCACTGCCATAAGCGTTAGACATATCAATAAAGATCCAGAGACAGTTAGAATTTAAATAAGAAAAGTATAGGCCATTGTCCTTCTAATATTTTCAAGCCATATCAGGTGGAGAAAAGTAGGGTGTAAAAATCATTTTTCTTTTCATTCTTTCATTTCATTTAGATCTGTTTAGAATTCTGTTGCAGTGAATTTTATGAAAAATTATGCCTTTAGGTAACTGATTTGTAGCTCTGTATTGTCACATCTCTCAGGATTGTGTTTTTGTGCTTTTGCCTTGTAGTATGAAAATACCAACTGTATGGGTATTGCTCATTTTTTTCATTTGAATTATTTTCTCTACTTAAATATTTGATACTAATATAGCTACTTGTTTTATTTCAGGAACAGAGATATTCATCTGATATACCTCTTCCTTCAATTTTACATTCAGTAAATCTTATCTCAGCTACATTGTTCAGCAAGACTTCAGAGTGTGAAGGTACTGATAAAAGGGAGATAAATCCACTAGTCATAGTTGCTGGTCAGTCCATTGAGGATATTGATGCAATAGAAACCAAAGAATCAGAACAGAACAATGAAATTTCAAAATATTTGTGCAATAAGTCTCCTGGTGTGGAAAAATCAGATATTTTAAGTAATCATAAAAAAACATGTGAGAAGTTACCAAGAAAACATACAAATCAACTTGTTCACAAGCCAGTGTCTTATGAACTTACAGAAAACTTTAAATTTAAAAATAATCTTAATTCTAAAGACAGTCTACAGAAGCTAAGTCATTTAAATATTGATGTCAGTGGAAATCTGGTTAAACAGATTGAATCTTTTTATGACGATAAATCTCCTGAAATGCAAGTTGTAGTTAACTCCCTTACTCCAGTGCTCTCTCGCAGACGACCTAATAAGAATCGAGAAAAATTTAATAGTGAGAATAAAGAAAACATCAAGATTAAAAATGGTGGAATCAGTATAAAGGATTTTGTGTCGCAGGACCCTGAGAAGATGACATCATCTGAAATGTGTGCAACTTGGCATGGTCCTGGGCACTGTGTTCACTCACAACGACCAAAAATGGGCATTGGTATGGTTATGTCAGAAAGTACACCTATGTTTGCTCAGAATCCTGTACAAGGCTTGACAAAATCATCAAGTTTTCATTCGAATGGAACCATGACAATGCCCAAAAATTTCTCAAAAACAATTCTTGATGCTATGCATAAAAAGTATTGTGCCCATCAGTATTCAAGGAGGCTGGATGCAGGTCCAAAATCAACTTTGATTCAAATTCATAAAGTGGAACAATTTGTGGCAACCCATAGTGTACGAAAACCTCCTCAAAGTCTTCAATTATGGAAAGATTATGATTCCCCATCAACAAGTGGTAACTCTTCACCAGCTTTACAAAAACTACAGAGTATAACACCTGATTGCTCTTTAGATTCTAAAAAGGTAAGTTCTTTGTTATTTAATATTATCTATGATGGACATTGATCTCAGAATAAATTTTTCTCTCACAATATTTAAACACTCAAACCTAAAGACGCAAATTTTCACTCAATAACTGGGATTTGAATAATAAAAAAAAAACTTTTACAGGGATTCTGTTGTAACTTTATGACACCAGGTAAGCTAACTGAATATATACTCATATTGACCATTCTTGAGAACTTAAATTTTATGTTAATTCTAAGACTTTGTATTACTTTAAGACATTTTTATACGCCCACATGAAATTGCTCGTAAACACTCTACAAGCCACAATTCTTGATGGATTTTGACTAAAGTTGGTATGAGTGTTTGTAATCACCCAAGGATGAACCCTATCAAAAATCAGAAGAATCGAAAAATATTTAGTATAAGTAATTGCCCTTGTTCTTGAAAACGCATTCGATTTTTAGCTCGTAAACACTCTAGAAGGCACAATTCTTGATGGATTTTGACGAAACTTGGCATGAGTGTTCGTAATCACCCAAGGATGAACCCTATTGAAAATCAGAAGAATTGAAAAATATTTATAATGAATTTTTGCCCATGTGCTTAAAAACGCTTTCAAATTTAGCTCTTAAACACGAAAAAGCATTATTCTTGCTGGATTTTGACAAAACTTGGTTGTATTATTCAGTCCTGCGCTGAAGATTTTCCTTCTAGGGTTTTCACGAGCTAATAATTGAACATGTGTTCAAGAAACAAAGGCAATAACTCATACCCAATATTATTCAGTATTGCCCTAAAGAGTTAAAAAAAAATGTATGACTAACGGTTGGATATTTCATACTGGTGATTGTTACTATACTGCTAAATATTTTTATTCAAAATCAAAGCTGCCAGTGGGCGTATATTATCTTGCCTGGCAAGCTATCTTTTTTTATACGCCCACATCTCTCTATATGGACTTATGTTGTCGGCACCCCTGTCCGTCCGTCAGTCCATTGGTCCGTCCGTCCGTCCGTTTCCCCGAATGCTACCATCTGAGTCCAGTGAGGCATTGTGCAACTTTTTTGCATGTACGTCGAGTTGCATAAGATATTTAAGATAAAGCATGCCCAATGTGTTCTTCCGGGGTTAAAACGTACACATGCAAAAGTTGCATACAATTTTTGGCCCGAATTATTGTCCGTATATTGGTCTGTATTAAGGACAACATTTGACTTTCTAGTTTTTTGCCTTAAAAATATTTGCCCTTGTGTTTTGTCAAGAATTGAAGTTCTTTTTTTTTCAGTACATTAAAATGTTTGCCTAAATAAAGGGTACGCCAGTTATGTGGCCCGGAAAGATTATGCACCAGGGCCAGATTGCCGCCGAAATAAGCCAGGCATTTTTAATATCCAGAAAACATCAATCAAAGTTTAATTTGTGGTCTAAGGGGAAATACTTGTTTGTCCGTACCTTATGCAACTTTTCTATAACAGGGACTCTTGTTCGAAAATGACTCGAGTGAAGAATTATCTATTACAAACCCACAAAACTAATCAACAACATCAACAACATTTTAACTTTTGGTCAAAGGGGAAATACTTGTCGTTGCTGCTTTATGCGACTTTTCTAGTACTCTGAGTTCATTATCGGACAGAATGTCACAGAAGGTAGCATTTTTAAATTAAAAAACCTCCCATACATTTTCGGACAAAGAGACACAGAAAGTATGGTCCGTGAGACTTAAAATTAAACTCACATGCAGTGACAAAAAGTCACAGAAAAATAAACGTACACGGATATTCTGACAAAAAGTCACAGAAGACAGCACCCTTGAGACTTTGGACAAATAGTCCCAGAAGAAAAAAGAAACTCACATGACTTTTCAAGTTTGCATTTGAGCTATTTTCGACCGTTAGAAGCAGAGTTATTGTCCTTGCCCCAAAATCTTGAAAATGCTATTACTCTCTTAGTTTTCAACTGATTTTGATGAAACTTGGCTTTTAAAATGTGCTGTGGACGTGATAGAGCTAGTTTCTTGATGGATTTTGATAAAATTTGGTGTCAATGTCACCTGAGGATGAACACTATTGAAAATCAGACAAATAGAAAAATATTTGATATGAGTTTTTGCCCTTGTTCTTGAAAACTCATTTTACTTACAAGGCACAATTCTTGACAGATTTAATCAAAATGTGGTAAATTGTTAATTATTTCCCAATGAGGTACCCTATAGATAGTTAGAAAAAAATTTTAAAGTATTTAATGTGAGTTATTGCACTTGTATTTAAAGGGACAGGTAAGTAATTTTTTTGACTAATCATAGTATTTTTGAAATTTTTTAGCTGAGCTAATCAATTCACAGCTCACCGTCGAAATTTGAGCCTTTAGATTCGTGTGTGTCCAGAATTATCTGCATTTGAATATGAATGTTGATATAAGTATAGAAAAGACATAAGCTTATATGGAAATCATGAGTAAAATTCCTAGTTTGAAGTATTTTTTAAATAATTATGTGACTTTCATACATCTAGTATTTCTGAAGACTCTTTACATATATTAAAGACTAAAATCAACTCCCCAAAATTGTACATCTGTCCCTTCAAGATGTATGCTTGTTTTTGTGTTTTAAGAGGGTGGGGTGGGGGAGGTTTATTTATATAATTTTAATGGGTGTTCACTTAAAAGAAACATAAGAAGCAATGACTACCTAGTATAAACAGTATTGGACAGCACTATTTTTGAATAGATAAAAGTCAGTTAAAAATCAATTCATGATGTTTAGATGGTGTACGCCCAAATCATACTAACAAATCCCTTTCAAAACTTGATAACAAGTAGTCACTACCTTCCCCTGACTTTTAGACTAATGTTTACGTTTACCCAAAAGATGTTTGACCAAAAGAAACACTTAAAATAACATTGGTGTTTGGTTGGGTTAAAAGACTTGAAATCAAATGATTCATTGTACATGCGAGACTGAATTTTATAGAAAACTTAAAACATTTTTCTCAAAATACATTTCTCATCCACATTTAATGTATGCCATTTTCAGTCATTAATAGTGTTGGGTATTGTCAATCATTTCACGATACGATATGTATTGCGATACAAGGGTCACGGTACAATACATATCACAATATGGGGTAATGGGATAAAAATAAATGTTGTTATAATTTTCATTATATATTAATTTATAACTGTGATATTTGGTAATATAGTTGATAGAAATGTTTAGCGTCCACTGTCTTATAATAAGTTTCTAACAATTCAATGAATAAAATTGTTGTATCATAAAACAACTTATAAAAATCTCCCCTTTTTTATGGAATAAAAGGTATCGCCAAATATCTATACACAACGTCGTGATATGATATAAGTATCGTGGCATGTCGTATCACCATACATTGATTCACCGATATATATTGTGCCAGCACTAGTAATAAAGATAAAAATACCAATGTCCTCATACATAACCGTGCTTGTACAACAGATCCTTGTTTAGACAAAGCTAATTTGTAATAGGAGAATTGTACTCTATTGTCAGTCATGAAGACCTAACTTACAGTTTTATTCTCTCTCACACAGAAACACCCTCACACGCTCACCCTCACAAAAACACACACCCTCACCCTCACATACAATTATTATCATTGATCCAGCCTATCCCTTATCTCACTAGAAACTACTGTTTTTGATACAAAATTTCAACCTTGACTGTGTTCAATGCCATCCATAAACATTCCCTTCAGTGAGACAATAGCTAGAGTTATTGTGTAAAATTGTTCAAACTCGGTTTGAAAAAGTGTATGATGAGATCTTGAAAACCTAATCAAAGCACTTCAATATCAACTTGTGAAAAGCTAGCTGTGATATATAAAATTATGTAGGTTTAAGTAGACCCAGGTAAGATCTGAGACACATCTGAAGTTGCCAATATTTCAAGCAAGGTTTATCAGTTGTTTCAAATATGTTGAGCAATACAATCTAGAGTTTCACCACCTATTTGAAAAACTGGATATAAAGATACATGGAATAGTATGGTGTTAAATGGCGATGAGAATGTAGTCTCATAAAAGCACTGGCCCAGGTCACAAAATATAGACTCATCTAAAACAATTTGAAAGAGTAAAAAAAAATATTAGAAAGTTAATTATGTATGGCTAAGATTAAAGTAATATCATTTCTCTTGCTAACATTCCTCAAAAGATAAGAATTAGTCTCCTTCTGTAATGTTAAAGAATAAAAACTGATGATAAGTCCTGTAATATGAATTCTTTTAAAAACAATCTCTATATATGTACCTGTAAGAAATGAGCATACATTAATATGCGAAAACAAATTTGGTAGTAAATTGCTAAAAAATTTGTTTCAATGAAGGTTGATGAGTTCAAAATGTTTCAAGAATATCTTGTCAACTCAAGAGAAGATAACTTTGTGTAATACAATCTTAGAATGTAGATCTCAAACAAATTTGAACTTTGAAGTGTGTTATTTTGTTAATGACAGAATTCAAAATGACAGAGCAGTCAATTAATGACTCTTAGATTATATGTTAGATAGTAGCATACTATTTACTGAGCTCAACATTAGTATAAAGAAACCAGTGTTTTCATCTTAATTAGGTAGATTACTCAGATCTCAAAAAAAAAAAATGTCCAGAAAAGTTAAGTTTTTCTTTCACCGTGGATGTTTTAGGCTTTATGTATATGATACCTATAAATAATTATGTTCAACTATATAATGTACATGTATCATGACATATTTAGATACAAAAAAAGTAAAGAATCAATTTAGAAGTCAGTGTTGTAAGACTTGACCCTGTCAATCTTTGGTAAATTTATATTGTGATGTTATTTTAGTGACCAGTTAGTGGGTGTTTGTATAGGATTTCATTTTCTTTGTTATAGGGTGGTTGTAAAGAGACTTTGTACTACTTGATATAGTCTAGTCATGTTTGAATGTCAGACATTATATTCTGAAAAGTGGATTTCAATGTGAAAGGTTATTGGAAAGGTTCTTTGTTCCATGCTATCTTTTTGACATTCTATATATTCTAATGGTCAGATTGAAAAACC